GAAAGGAAAGGAAAGGAAAGGAAAGGAAAGGGGGAAATGAAATGAAAGGAAAGATGGAGCGAGGAAGGAAGGAAGGAAGGAGATGAAAGGAGGGAGGGAGGAGGAGAAGGGAAAGGAAAGGAAAAGAAAGGAGGAAAGGAAAGGAAAGGAAAGGAAAGATGAAGGGAGAGAGAGAGGAAGGAAGAAAGGAAGGTTGATGGATTTCCAAAAAAGAAAAAAAAATACAGTTACTCCATAAAGCTAAGCTCATAATGCTGTATTATCTGCGAAGAGAGGGTGATTGGTTTTTCCAGTGGTTTATGGCAACTGTTGAGAGTTGAGCTTTGCTCACAAAAACAAATCACTTTTTCAATAAATCATTTTACCAGCGTGCTCTGGGAGGCAGGGAATAAAACACCAGCTCTGGACAGATTGTTAAAAAACTGTGAAGCTCCCCACTTCTACGGACAGTACTTGAGTCGGGCCAGCTCTCGATAAGCAGGTCCATGTTTTTTGCTGTACGAGAGGCTCTTTGCGGAAATGCGGCACATGATGTATAGGCTGCTTTATCAATGGCGACAGATGCATAGCTTTAAACAAATGAATTAAAATTTACTTTATTGATCAGCTCGGCTTTCTTTAACTAGCCATCGTGCTTCATTTTTAAATAATTGGCTGGTTTTATTGCTTTTTTTTTTTTGGTAAGCCATAAAGAACTTAACAGAGTTAAATAAGCACAGTGGCCTTACTCCAGGGAGTCCTCAACTTGCCATCGTTGATCTACAAATTTCCATGGATAAGTGAGACATTTGTCAAGTGAGTTATGCCCCATATAACCACCTTTCTTGCCCCAGTTGTTAAGTGAATCATAGGCAGTTGATAAGTTACTAACCCGACCGTTCAGTGAATCTAACTTCGCCATTGAGTTTGCTTGTCAGTAGGTCGCAAAAGGGGATCACTCATCCCCGGGATACGACAATGGTCATAAATATGAAGCAGTTGCCAAGCCTCTGAATTTTGATCACACGAGCATGGGGATGCTGCAAAGGTCGTAACTCTGCAAAACGGTCATAAGTCACTTTGTTCAGTGCCCTTGACATTTTGACCCATCACTAAATGAACTTGTTTTGGCCAAGGCTTCCTGAGACTGTAATTAAGCACATGCTTAGTCAAAATAACTCTTGTTTTATTTCATTGCTGGGAATTATGTTCATTCCCAGCCGGTAATGAGTCCCAAAAAATCCCTCGAGATAAGCACCCACCTTTCTCTCCTTTGAATTGCTGCCAACAACTAAAGTGCCATATTAACTGTAAAAAACCATCCAAAGTACAAAGTCCACACAGAGCTTCAAGGTTTAATCTGAACAGAACGAATGACTTTGCTTCCTGCAAAGGTTTCTCTACCTTTGCACTTCCTTTATACCTTAGGGGAGGGGCAATCACCTCCCAGCTTTGCTCCCGAGTCACCTCTTTTTCCCAGCTGCTCTTTCCTTCTAGCAACTCTGCGCACACACGCACTGGGAACAGGCTCCCCTTGTTCCTCTGCCTCACTGCTGCCAGACTCCAGAGCCTCCAGAGTCAGCACCCCACCCCAGATGGCCCTGGCCCCATCTCTGCATCGGATGCAGGACCCTCATCCGAATCCTCCCCAGACTCCCTGACTGGTCCCCATTCTTCCCCACTGTCCAATTCCGCTGCTGTCTGCACGGGCTGCCGATGAACCACAACAGAACTGTTGTAAGTCAAGGACTACCTGTCCTCTAGGTTCTCAACATTCTTAGCTAAGGTTTGTTTTTGCTTTTTTCAAATTTTCTGGTTGCAGGACCACAAGCTAAGAAAGACAGAGATATATCATGGTGGTGGAAAGAAGGATTGTAAGACGGGTGATTTTTTTTCAAGGGGCAACTGGACTTTCTGGTTTTTCCTTGAAGATGTTTGGCTTCTCATCCACGAAGCTTCTTCAGCTCTGACTGGATGGTGGAGGATGGAAGGATTTATACTGCTTGCAGACAGCTGGTCATCTGCATTCTTTAAGAGAGTCATTGAGGCCACTTGGAGGTTTATCTGTGTCCTCAGGGCCACCCGAGTGGGTGTGGAGCCTTCTTGGAACTGCTAAAAGGATTGTGTTGTAGACTGGAGAGAGATGATGTCATATCCCTCCTCCTCTGTTGAGCGAAGGCTGTTCAGTTTTAACATAGATGGCCTCTTTGACCCCTCTTTCAACCCATTTGCATTACTGATGACACAGATAAACCTCCAAATGGCCTCAACGACCCTCTAAAAGGATGCAAACGACCAGCTATCTGCAAGAAGTATAAATCCTTCCATTCCCCACCATCCAGTCAGAGCTGAAGAAGCTTCTTGGAAGAGAAGCGAAACGTCTTCAAAGAAAAAACAAGAAAATCCAGTTGCCTCTTGGGGGGAAAAAAAGCAACTTTGGGACAACCGTCGCCATTTGAAAGAAGGATGCATTATTGATCCTCGTTCTTCTCTTTCAGGGTTCGAACATTCCCCAAAGAATCCCACCTGGGCCACGACACGGTTCGTGCCCTGATGTACTACGCTTTGAAGGTGTGGAGTGACATCACACCCCTCAATTTCCACGAAGTGGCTGGTAACAATGCGGACATCCAGATTGACTTCTCCAAAACTGATCACAATGATGACTACCCCTTTGATGGCCCCGGGGGCACGGTAGCCCATGCTTTCTTCCCAGGAGAACATTATACTGCTGGAGACACCCACTTTGATGACGACGAATATTGGACCTTCCGGTCATCAGGTATGTGGGCAGGAGAAGGACCAAAGACCAACCTCAAGGACCAAAGAGTTTGAAACCATGTAATGAATATGTTCTGACCAAGGTTTCTGAGTCCGTAATTACGCACACGTTTATTTTAAAAACAAGTCTTGTTTTATTGCAAAGCTGGGAATTATTTTCATTCCCAGCTGGTAATGAATCTCAAATAGTCCCTCAAGAGAAACACCCACCTTTTTTTTCTGTGAAGTGCTGCCAATAACAGAAGTGTCAAATGAACTAGAAAGAAAACCAACTGAAGTACAAAGAGCTTCAAGAATGAATCTGAACCGAACTAACGACTTTGCTTCCTGCAAAGGTTTCGTCATCTTTGCCTGTCCTTTATCCCTTATGGGAGGGGCAATCACCTGCCAGCCTTACTCCCGAGTTGCCCATTTTGTTTCATTTGCTCTCTCCTTCTGACAGCTCTGTGCACACACGCACTGGGAACAGGCTCCCCCGGTTCCTCTGCCTCGTTGCTGCCAGACTCCAGAGGCTCCGGAGTCAGCACCCCACTTCCCAGATGGCCCTGGCCCCATCTCTACATCGGACGCAGGACCTTTGTCTGAGTCCTCTCCAGACTTCCAGACTGGTCCCCATTCTTTCCCATTGTCCAATTCCACTGCCGTCTGCACAGGCTGCCAGCGAACCACAACAGAATGATTGAGGGAACTTAGGCATGTCTAGTCTGATGAAGAGAAGAACTAGGGGTGACATGATGCCTGTCTTCCACTACTCGAGGGGCTGTCACAGAGAAGAAGAGGTTGACTTGTTCTCCAAAGTCATCTGAAGCCAGGACAAGAAGTAATAGATGGAAACCTAGGAGAGAGCCAACCCAGAAGTAAGAAGGAATTTCCTGACATTGAGAACAATTAATCGGTGGAACGCCTTGTCTTCAGAACTTGAAGGGGGCTCCATCTCTGGAGGCTTTCAAGAAAAGATTGGATAGCTATTTGTCCAGAATGGTTTAGCATCTCTTACTTGATTGGGCTAGAAGGCCTTCAGGGTCCCTTCCAACCCTATGATTCTACGTTCATCTACCATTCTAATTTGTAAAGGATGGTTTTGCATGCCTTTACCAGCATCCATGCTAAGAAGGCGGGAATGAAAAAGGAAGAATAAGTCCAAAACAAGATAGGTCAAAGGTATCCAACCATGGAGACACAACAGGATAGAAAAAAGGTCTAGATGTTGCATCATCAATATCTAGACCACCGAGGTGAACTAGAGTTGCAGAAGAGTTGGCTCAATCATTGGGGTTGAATTTAAGAAGAATCAAATCGAGTAGAATAGAATAGAATAGAATAGAATAGAATAGAATAGAATAGAATAGAATAGAATAGAATAGAATAGAATAGAATAACAGTTGGAAGGACCTTGGAGGTCTTCTAGTCCAACCCCCTGTTTAGGCAGGAAACCCTACACCATTTCAGACAAATGGTTCTCCAATCTCTTCTTTAAAACTTTCAGTATTGGAGCATCCATAACTTCTGGAGGCAAGTCGTTCCACTGGCTAATTGTTCTCACTGTCAGGAAATTCCTCCTTAGTTCCAGGTTGCTTCTCTCCTTGACTGGTTTTCATCCCTTGCTTCTTCTCCTGCCAACCGATGCTTTGGAGAAGAGCTCGACTCCCTCTTCTTTGGGGCAGCCCCTGAGTTATTGGGAGACTGCTCCCATGTCACCCCTAGTCCTTCTTATCATCAGACTAGACATACCCAATTCCAGCAACCGTTCTTTATATGTTATACCAAAAAAAAATGCTTAGTTTTTGAGGAGGAAAATAAGGGGGGGGGGAATTCTGCTTCTGCCTACCTGCATCCATTGGTATTCATCTGCCCAACATCCTGTCAGTGTGTGAGAGAGTTGAGGGCTCTTTGGAAACTGAAGCAGTATTTGCTGTGTGAGCAAGGAGACAGCAAGGAGCTCAACTGTTCTATATTAAAGCTGGTTGCTGCTCTGTAACTGAAACTGAAACTCCTCTGCTTGTTTGGAAGAGATTTCTTTTCAGGCGGGAAGGGGGAGTAGAACTCCTTAGCATCAGAGTGTGTTAATAATAATAATATGGGAAATATTAATGCTCTGATGGTCATTTAAAAAAATCCTTTCTTAGCAAGCACCTAGAAGCCACGAGGAACATAGGTGCCAAATTGCAAGTTTGTAGGTTTTACGGTTCTGGAGATTTTGTGATGATGCGTGAGTGGTATTTTGCTTTTAGATAAATAGATGATAGATAGATAGATAGATAGATAGATAGATAGATAGATAGATAGATAGATAGATAGA